ATCGAAGAGAGAAGCTGGAAAAGTTGTCGGAACAACAGCCACGATGGGACTCACTCTATCTTCTTCTTCTGTTCAATGTGGTTATATCCTTTCACTCTAGAAGAGGCAAGCACCATTTCTCCTCCAACTCACTCTATCTTAAACTAAACATCTAAGGGTTGGGTCCATACACCCCCACTAGACCAAAAGTTGCGCGCGCAATCTTGGCCCGGAGTAAAGGGAAGAGGGGTAACTTAAAAGANTTAAGAAAAACTAATCGAAGAGAGAAGCTGGAACAGTTGTCGGAACAACAGCCACGATGGGACTGTCTCTAACTTAAACTAAAAATCTAAGGGTTGGGTCCATACACCCCCACTAGACCAAAAGTTGCGCGCGCAATCTTGGCCCGACGGAAAGGGAAAAGGGGTAACTTAAAAAAGAAATCGGGAAGCGAAAGAGGGAGAAAGGGGACCGTGTGACGTCAACAGTTTTCCTTCTTGAGGGGTCTCAGGCCCGTCAGCTCCGCGATACAATGAACAAAGGAGAACTCAACATTCAACACGTGTGGAACACGTGAATCAGAGAGACTTTCTAAATATCTCAGAACCGAGATTTAACAATTTTACGACCGTGACTGTTGAGTTTATTTTTCTTCTAAATTTCAGAATTTCAAGAAAAGTATTGTTGTGAGGAATTTTGGAGAGCTATAAATTTACGAAGTAAACTCAAGTACTTGACATTTATTATTTCCGGCAACAGTTTTTCTCACGCCTGCGAAGTTGTTTTTCGTCCCTTGTTCATTGTCCTTTCATTCTCGAATTTTCTCAGTATTTAAAGATTTTACGTTATTTAATTAATTTTCAATATTAATTTGAATATCGCTGACAAAGATGGCTGATCAATGCTACCAACCATGAAAATCAGCGTCAAGACATCACAAATATGTGACGTCGCGACTAAGTTCCTAGGCGCGGCGTTAGTGTAGTTTGGCGGTTTATTCAAATAAAAAAAAGTAGATTTTTACGAAAATTATAAAATGGGGGAAAATTCGAAAGGGCGATGGGAAAAATCCGGGCGGCACACGGGAAGAGGGTCAGAACGGTCGTTGGGAAAATGAACCATAAAGAAAAAATCCTCTGGCGCACATTTTATTTCAAATCCGACACTTCACTGTCTGTCATAAATAAAATCTATTTTTTGTTGGGTTTTTACCCAGAAGACCGAAAATTCTACTTTATAGTTGCTTCGGGAAAAACCCGAGGTGCTATAAAGTGGCTCTAGCGAAGGTTAATCCCAAACACGTGTGGCCCCTGCCCGGTCCGTCGATGTCGGGCCCATGAGTCCCTTCCTCCAAGAGACGTGACCTCACGTACCTCCACCTCTACCCCTAACAGTAAGCAACTGCGCGAGCATCCTGTGCGAAGGAGTAGGGAGGGGTTTCAGCCCCAAGATTTGAAAACTTAGAGTTAAATTAGAGTCAGTTACACCCTACAGTTCAGCGAGAACACCTAAATTTATCTCCTTTAAAATACCAAGTTAGAAGTTAGTCAAGTCGAAATAAATAGATTGTTACGTGCTCCCTTAGCACTTTTGCATTAATTTTTTCAAATCAGTGTTTAAATTTCCCCCCAACAATTACTTTTCCCAATTTTCTTCGCTGGACTGCCCATTAGGGCTTTGGTAGCTGACGGATCCAGATCGAGGCGATTTCCAAGGCAGTTTTGAATTTTGGCGCTCATTGCTGGGGAATAACTTTGGTTATTCACCAGGACATAACAAATATCGTTCACGTGAACTATGTCGACTATGTTATGTCCCTGTCGATGTTACTAGGGACACAGTGGCGCCTTTTGAAATATTGAGCGCCAAACTTGAAGAGTGAATACGTTAGCCGCTAAACCTCTAATGAGGACTCCATCGAAGTTGACTCATTCGTGACGGAATAATTGGGTTGAAGGTTCATTTTTGAAATAAATCCATTAGACCAGTGCATAGGAGAGCACATTAACACTTTATTTATTAAACTTGTTGAACTCGAAAAACTTTAAACTGTAAACTACACACTCAATAAACTTATGAAAACTCTAAGTAAACTTTGATGAAAACTAATTGAAGAGAGAAATTGGAAAAGTTGTCGGAACAACAGCCACGATGGGACTATATAACTAAAACTTAAACTTAACTTTTAGGGTTGGGTCCAACAACCCCCACTAACCCACAAGTTGCGCACACAAACCTGGCCCAGGGGAAAGGGAAAAGTGAAACCCAAGGGAAAACGGGAGAAAAGGGGAGCGTGTGACGTCGCAAGTTTTCCCCTCAGAGGGTTTTACGCCCTCTCAGCGATACATTGAACAAAGGAGAGCCCACACGTGTCGAACACATGCTACACAGGAACTTTCGAAATAAACAGAACTGAAATTTTACGACTTGGGACCGTAACCGTTAATTTTACTTTCTTCTCTAAGTTTTGCATTTTTCAAGGTAAAGCCTTTTCGTGACGAGTTTTGGAGGGCAATAAATTTGGATTTAAACTCAAGTATTTGACATTTACAATTTTCTGTAACGGTTTTTCTCACGATTGTGGAGTTATTTTCTTCCTTTGTTCATTGTCCTTTCTTTTCCGTACTTCTCAGCATACTACGTTTTAAAAATATCATTTTAAAAATCATTTCCGAACTATGATTTGAATCTCGTGGATTTTTATGGCCGATTAATAGTGCCATCTACGAAATTCAACGTCGGGACGTTACCACTAGTGCCATGGGGTTTTTTACTTGCGTGGAGTTGGCGTCCGAGCCGAAGGCGAGGACTGACCAATTACACACCCTGAAATATACTATAACAATACCCGGCAATTCATTCCCAAGCCGGGAAAAACCGGTTATATAAAACCAAAAGACTTCCGTCCTATAAGCCTCACATCCTTCATCCTGAAAACCCTGAAGAGGCTGGTGGATAGACACATCAAGGCCAGGCCCTTGGCTGACAGACCCCTCTCCCCCTGTCAATATGCATATAGGGAGGGAAGATCAACAGATACCGCCTTACATCACCTGGTGGGACTGATTGAGGGACAACTGGCGGTCAAGGGTTTTGCCATAGGCGCCTTTCTGGATATTGAGGGGGCTTTGATAGCACTTCGAATCCGGCTATAGAAAAAGCCATGGAAGAACGACAGGTGTCCAAGACTATCATTGCTTGGACACAAAACATGCTGAAAAGCAGAAGACTGTCGGCAGGACATGGGAGGGCATGTGTGGAGGGACGTCCGACTAGGGGCTGTCCGCAGGGGGGAGTTCTCTCGCCCCTGCTATGGAACCTGGTTGTAGATGGACTTCTAAATCAACTAAGTGAGGCCGGCTTCCACGTCATCGGTTTCGCCGATGATGTGGCAGTTGTTGTGAAAGGCGGATTTCTGAGGGTGCTAAGGGACCTGATGGCAACAGCCTTCAATATCATTGAGGACTGGTGCAGGGTAACTGGCCTATCGGTAAATCCAGCCAAAA